TGATGTGCCCCCAAAACACCCCAAAAACACCCTGAGACGCCCCCAAAAACAGCCCCAAACTCCTGAAGAAAACCTGAAACCCCCCCCAAAATAAATCCAAACCCCCCAAAACCCCCTGAAGCTCCCCCAGACCTGCGGCCTCACCCCCTGCCTCAAACGTGGGTGAAACACCCCAAAAACACCCCGAAACCCCCCCAGGAACCCCAAAAATCATCAGTCCCCCCAAAAAATCCCACTTGAACCTCCTTCAAACCCCTCCCCTAAAAAAACCCCAAACCCTCCCTCGAAATCCACCAGAAACGCCCCAAAACCCCCCCAAAACTCCTCCAAGCCCCCCGGAACTTTCCCAGCTGCCCCAAAACTCTGTGATTTCCCCCCAAAACGCAGCTGGTGACGGGCTGGAGGTTCAAAAAGCGCCCGGGCATCGAGCACCTGCTGCAGCAGCTGGCACCGCTCTACGAGATCGTCGTGTTCACCTCCGAGACCGGAATGGTCGGAGGGAAAGGGGGACAACGGGGGGTTCAGGGGGGGCTGAGGGTTTTGGGGTGGTTTGGGGTGTTTTTGAGGTCTTCTGGGTTGGTTTTGGGCTGGTTTTGGGGTGTTTTGGGGTTGGTTTTGGGCTGGTTTTGGGGTGTTTTGGGGTTGGTTTTGGGCTGGTTTTGGGGGTGTTTCAGAGCTCCCGGGGTCTCGGGTTCAGGGGAGATTTGGTGGGTTTTGGGTGTATTTTGAGGGTTTCAGGGTGTTTTTTTTCCCAGGGGTTTGTGGTGTTTTTTTGATGTTTTGGGTTTGGTTTTGGGCTGGTTTTGGGGTGTTTCAGAGCTCCCGAGGTCTCGGATTTGGGGGAGTTTTGGTGGGGTTTTGGTGGGGTTTCGGTGTATTTTGAGGGTTTCTGGTGGTTTTGTGGTGTTTTTGTGGTGTTTTGGTTTGGTTTGGGGCTGGTTTTTTGGGGTGTTTTGGGTTGGATTTGGGGCTGGTTTTGGGGTGTTCTGGGTTGTTTTTGGGGCTGGTTTTGGGGTGTTTTGGGTTGGTTTGGGGCTGGTTTTGGGGTGTTCTGGGTTGTTTTTGGCTTGGTTTTGGGGTGTTCTGGGTTGGTTCTGGGTTGGTTTTGGGTTGGTTTTGGGACTGGTTTTGGGGTGTTCTGGGTTGTTTTTGGGCAGGTTTGGGGCTGGTTTTGGGGTGTTCTGGGTTGGTTTTGGGCTGGTTTTGGGCTGGTTTTGGGGTGTTCTGGGTCATTTTTGGGCTGATTTGGGGCTGGTTTTGGGGTGTTCTGAGTCATTTTTGGGCTGGGTTTGGGGTGTTTCAGCGCTCCCGGGGTCTCAGATTCAGGGGAGGGTTTTTACCAGTGGGTTTCCCCGTGGTTCGGAGGGAAGGGCTCGTCTGTATTTCGGGGGCTCCCAGGGGTGGCCCCCTGACCCTCCCCTCGACCCCCCCCCTTCCCAGACAGCCTTCCCCCTCATCGACAGCATCGACCCCCACGGCTTCGTGTCCTACCGCCTGTTCCGGGACGCCACGCGCTACATGGAGGGGCACCACGTCAAGGTGGGATTTGGGGGGGGCTCCCCCGGACCCCCACAACCCCACAGCCCCCCGAATTTAACCCCCCCTTTCCCTTTCCCCCCCCAGGACATCTCGTGCCTGAACAGGGACCCCGCGCGCGTGGTGGTCGTGGATTGTCGGCGCGAGTCCTTCCGGCTGCAGCCCCACAACGGGCTGGGGCTGCCCCGCTGGGACGGCGCCTCCGAGGACAGGGCCCTCTACGACCTGGCTGCCTTCCTCAAGAGTGGGTGACGCGGCCCCGAAAACGCCCCCCGAGACCCCACAAAACACCCCCTGAGACCCCAAAAAACACCCCCTGAAACCCCACAAAAATATCC